AGTCACAGTTATTCGAAGTCGAGAGCAGAGCACTAAATTTAACTATAGAACCACAGGAAGCTAAAGAACAATATTCCAAACCTGTAAATTCCCGAAGGCAAAGCAGTTAGCCAGTCTAAATAATTACGTGTCACATTAAATTCACTCGAACTAGCCTCCAACAACTGCAGTTTTGTAAGTTCCTCTTCAATAACTTGCAAGACATGAGGTGGGCATTTATCCCCCTTCGACTCGAGTCTTTCCGTAAATTTCTCTGCCATGAAGGACAAGCAGCATCATTAGCAAGAATGATCTAACGATTAAACAACACAGAAGTTCCAGAAAAGATTGCTCAACAGCAGGCAATACAGTTAACACTAAAAAATGGCTTTAAGAACCTAAGCTAGGTATGAATACTCGTAGTACAATGCAACATGTACATATTTCAGATGAGGAGAACTAATTCTTGAATAAACAGCTCAGTGAGAAGTTCAAGTGAAGGTGTTTTTACATTTTGCAAAGCACCATCAGGCAAGTGATGCATGTGATAACTGCTTCAGCTTCAAAAGTATCAGCAGCTTTTATCCCTCCTAAAAAAACTACAAATGGTTGACACCAACTGCAAAAAGCTAATCTCCCAATTCGCTCCAGCCTCCCTCCCTCTTCTCCCCTCAAAACCCCCAATCGGAGTAGTTTGAAAATGGGAAATGAGGCTTCGACATGGTGATCAGAGGTGTATGCATAACTGAGTCCAAGGAGTCATACTGTTCCAGCATAAAGATTTGTGTGCCGAAAAAATAATGTGAGAGAGAGAGAGAGAGAGAGAGAGAGAGAGAGAATACAAAACAGAAAGGGCAGTTTGTCATCAGTTTCTAGTCCAAGTTCCTGCAGTGCAAATAAACCAGCATCGAAGTAAGGCCCAAAGGGAAATCAATTCGAAAACACAAGTGGATATCAAAAAGCTGGGAATAACCTTCTTTATGGCCTTAAGCTGCTCATTTAACAAATAGCGTTGTCTGTCGTTCCCCAGATATTTTATCCTCAATTGCTTTCGCAATGGATTCCTAATAAAACAAAGAAAACAATGATGTAACACATATGAAAGTGTCAAATTGACTCATCAAAACAGGTGACACCATAGGTACATGGATTTTACTGATCTCTATTTCTTTCTTAACAGTTCCAATGTAAGATTGAGCCGTATCAACCCCTACATAAGAAAAATAATTGCAAAGACAATTAGCTGAAGAGTAAAACTTTTTCAGTAGAATATATTCTTACAGGTTACACAACTCAGAAAAATAGATTCATTCTGTAGCCAAGTGGGTGATATTGCTCAGTCACCTTTGGTAATAACAAAAACTTGGGTCATGGACATTATCATAACCCGAGGAACTTCTTCTATATTTTATGAATGGGATCTTGTGTAGAATTCATATACAGTATAAAACAAATTGAACTTTGGACTTCCATTAATCTTGTAAGAAGAAATTTTAAGAAAGTATTTCCCCTTATCAGGAGGTAATCAACATGATTACACAACAGACTTGTTAAGCAAATGTATATGCCTGCCCAGATTATTTTATTATGTCAAGGATAACCAAACTAGACTGATCCATTGCAAATGGAGCTGGAAGAGTCATTATTGACAATTCTTTCAGCTTTGTGCTAATAATGATTAGTAAGAAACCCATATACTGCGTCTAGATGATTACCATCAGAGAGACCTACTGAAAAACTCTCTTGCAGCATTTCTCAGATTGGATTCGATCTTGTGCCATTGCAAAGATCAAAATGACTCAATTGGTTCAATTTAGGACTAGCCAGCTGATAAGAGCTAAGAAAACTGATGTCAGTCATGCAGTTAACCAAAAGATTAGGATGAATTTATGTTTTAGTTTATACATTAGATTCATTTTCATCCTTTACGAAAGAAAAAGTTTTCTCAAAAGAGTACCAAGGAGAATAGGGTTGAAATATCAGAATCTGCAAAGTAGAGCTATTAAACTAAAATTTTAGAAGATCCTATAACAAACAGTTCGTGCACCTGCAGACACTTGTCTCCACCACTGAAAGGTTTGACTAATGAGAAAGGAATTCTTCAATTATTTCTGAGAATCCCATTTCTGATTGCTGTAAGAGAAAAATGATGACCAATTCTAATCGCAGCATGCATAGGCATGGCACAGTTAAGGTTCAGGAAAAAAAGACCACTTCTCTTCTAATGAAAGACTAATGCTGTTGATTTTTCAAAGATTTTGAACTACATTACTATATCTGAATAGGGTAAAAAAATTTCATCAGAAAGAGACCTTTGATTGCCAGATTATAAGAGTTCAGGAACAGAACCAATTCACAGTAATAATTATTGCAAACCCACCTGAAAACCAAAATTTTGAACGGATCAACTTAACATTAGCTTCTAGAAATTGTACCTTCGAAATTCTTCTCTTTTGCTAATCATAATGAAGATGCCAATAATCATCAGACGGCATAGGCCTCAAGGATTGCAGACATGATCCTCATTAGCAAGGTTTAGTAAAGCTGCAGCCTTCGGCTCGCAGTCATTTGTTGCTCCCTGAAAATTGTAGCATTTAAGAATAAAAGTCCCATTCTCAAGGAATCTACGGGAGTGATTATAATCCTCAAATTCATTTTCCATGTGATGCAATTGTAGTTTTTACATTAGATCACATCTCATTTGGTTAAAAAAATATATATATATATATATATGTTTAGTTTCAAAAGTTTAGCATAAACTTACCCAAAGACATGGTGAAAATTTTGAAATTGAGACAATTTATTGTTCCTCAATGGGTTCTGAGTGAGTCATATTCTTAAAATACAAGAATCGAACACTTCGTGTGCAATCCGTAAACCAAACCTCTTCTGTTCCGAAGCGGAGGCCAAGAACAGACTACAGAGAGACGAAAGAGATTGAAGGGCAAAACGAAAGACAAATTTAGTGTACATATAAATAATATTTCCACTTTAAATAAAAGCTGAAAAAAAAAAAAATACACCAACAGACTCAATTAATTTCTTCATGACAATTAAAAGAAAACAGCAACTAAAACTTACTCAAAGAATAAAAAAGTATCAAAGATGAAAACTACAATATCATGTCTTTGTAAAGGTTTCTGGCGTCAATTCTTAGAAAATGGATGAAACCTTAATTTTAGAACAAAAAGAGAATGATGAACAAAGCTAATAATTAGTTACCTTCAACTTCAAGGATTTGAGGTAGAGAGATCACAATAAATATATAGCAAACAAGTTTGGAGCGAAAGAAAAAGACTGTATGGCTAAACTCTCACTGTTGGTAACTATATATCGACCAAATATATTTAGGATACTAAACTCTTAATATTCTTTTTCAGTTACAAAATTATTTTTCAATGTTTCATTCATGTGATTATTAAATTAAAAAAGAGAATAAGAAAACATAATGAGAAATTAAAAATGTTAAGAATAGTTAAAACTTAAATCTGTCATATGACTTATCAAATTCACCTAATAATTATTTTTGTAATTATTAAGAATTTCCAAATTGCAACATCTAATTAAGTTTTTTTTTTATTTTATTGACCACATTTTATTCTTTTCTTTTTTTAACTAAACACCCAATCTTCATACATGAAAATAATAACATCAAAGTTGATGCATAAGAAAAGATAGCTAGAAAATCAAAGTTAATTAATGTATAGGACTACCAAACTACCAAAAAAACATTCTGCAATTATATATAATGGTGATTAACAATTTCCCTTACAATACTCTAAAAATGTATCTACTCTATCAATGTCTAAACTACCTACTGTTTATGTTCTAAAAGACATTATCATAACCAACCAAAGATTTTTTTTATTTTTTTTTGTTTGTTTGCGGGAGGGGAGGGGATTATATCAACGAATTATAAAAAAAAATAATATTTTTTTTTGCTTATGTACAGATTGGTAGAGTAATAATACACTTTATTTTTTCTATTTTATAATTTTTATACAAATTTGTTTGTTTGCGTCCAACAGACGGGTTTAACACCTATTAACTAATAAACAAAAACCAATTCATGAAAGAAAAAATTGACAAATTCATGAACTAATTATAGAATTGAGAAATTATCATTTTTGAAGATTCTATAGAATGTAATTGATGCTTGAAAAGCGGGCACACTGATCCGTGTTTTAGGAATAATGTACATATATATTGGCCATAACACCTGATTAACGAGGTGCACCATAACTCCTCCTTATGATCACCTTACTTTAAACAACTTACCGTTTGTGTAATTAACTCATAATAATACGAATAAAATCATGAGTTTCTTCGAGAAGAAAAAATTATGAGACGGAAAAAGAAATGATGCATCTTTTTCAACTTGTACTTCTTCCATAGCAGTAAGCATGCAAATATGGGTTCTTTCACAAAAGATTTTTTTTTAAAAAAAAAAAAAGAAAAAGAAAAAGAAAAGAGAAATGCCTCATTTTAATTTTTTTCATCCATCCAAACATCTCGGAAAATCCCAAAAACCCATTATTACCTTCTTCCATCCTATTTTCTTCTTCTTATAGTATAAATTCGTGAATAACAATAGCACCAAAAAAAAATTAATAATAATAACAAAAAAATTAATATCCTTGCAGCACCCATCCAATACATCTTGAGTGCATGTTTGGAATAACAAGATTAGCTGCCGGAACTTTGGGCATGTACAACAATACTATCCATTCTTAACGAATAACAAGATTAGGTGCCGCCATTTCCAACCTCATGAATCCCCTCATCTGAATTGTGTACCACAGTCTCCACTATAACATTATAATTTTGTACAACATTACACATCCGGTAACTCTCAAATAATTGAATAACGGAAGCCGCCTATTCACCAAGACCAGAATACAGAGAAACCTTTCTTTTGATTGGTTACCAACCTGTATGAAAGATTCCCTCCATTTCTGATGGTCAGAGTTAAGACATCGTGACCAGCAAGCTCTGACAAATGGTTAAGCATCAAATATGGTTTATTCTTCTTTCTTCTTAGTATCACCAAACGCCAAGTCAAATATTTCACTGTAATTATCTACGAAGTGGACATCCAAGCCTTCCTTCACCTTATCTGAAAGCTCATCAAAATCTCTGCGGTTCGCTGAAGGGAATATAATCGTCTTCACTTCACTCCGCCTTGCAGCAATGGTCTTCTCTTTGACCCCACCAATCGGGAGGATCCTCCCTGTTAATGTTACTTCTCCGGTCATTGCTAGGTCCTTCCTGACAGGTTTATTCATGGCAAGAGATAACAAGGATGTCATCATGGTGCAACCAGCACTAGGACCATCCTTGGGGGTAGCGCCAGCAGGAACATGAAGGTGAAGCTTGGTGTTTGAGAAAAACTGGTTAGAAGGATCCTTTTCAAGCAATACAGCCCTGGCAAGTGTGTGAGCAATCTGGGAACTTTCTTTCATGACATCTCCAAGTTGTCCAGTAGCGTGAAGCCCACCTTTCCCTTCACCTTGCTCAACAATAGTGGTTTCAATATATAATGTCGATCCACCCATAGCCGTCCAAGCAAGACCCATAACAACCCCAATCGGTGTCTGCTCGTAAATGCGCTCAGCATGGAAAACGGGTTTACCAACATAATCAACCAAATTTGGTGTGTCGACCACTACTTTATTAACTGCTGCGAGCTCATTACTCTGGATCTTCTCACTTTCTGCAGTAACCTGTCATAATTACAGTAGCAGAGCATTGAATCATCGGGAAAGGATTGACGTAGATCCATCACTACAGGGTACAGAGTAACATCACATCAATTCTATTTTGGATTTAATGAAAAAATTAAACAGAATCAAACCATCTTACAAAGTATAATCATATCTCCACTCAACTTGATTTAAACAAGATCTCTTCATTGTTAATGCAATATAGAAGAGGTTGAAGCAAATGTAATCCAGTTTATCCCCAACAGGCAACATTTACCGTGAAAATGGAAGTGATAGAGTTTTGCCATCATAAGTTCCCAAATGAGTAATAAACTACAAGATTCGGGAAAATTTCTGATTCTGCCTTTGAAAGGGTAGATCTAAGAACCAATTTCCCTACACGAATTGCAAAATCAACAACTAGAAGTATAACAATTGAAAATACCTCTAGTTTTCCATGCTCGGCGGAGCTGTCTGTTTGTTCTGGTAGGGAATCAATTGATACTTCAGCATCTACAGAAGATGTTTGTGCCTTATCAGCGCCACAGTCAGTTACAGATTCTTCAATGATCTCAGCATCCTCAGTTTCTGCGGCGGAATGATCATCCTCTGATCTTTCCCGTACAAGTTGCAGAGCAATCTGCAGCCAATAGTAAATTACAGCACTTCAGCCCATGATATTTCTTTTCGTACATGTTAGTTTAAGTTCTTCAATCATATCAACCAATAAGACCACAATGTTAATATCCCATCATTTTCATAGGTCGCAACCGCATTATTGTTTATAAGAGGTGAGACATGTATCTTTCAGTGGTGAGTTACGAATCAGCCTACCTTACGATAAATCTTCTCAATCTGCTTTTGAAGATTCCTAACTCCAGCTTCTCTACAGTAATTTTCAATTAAAGCGAGAAGAGCAGAATCAGTCACCTCAACCTGGAATTGATCAAGCCCAAAAATTAATTCACATCCGTCCAAGCAAGAGAAGAATGATCAGTTGAGTTCACATAACAATACACGTGCTATGACTACATATACTATGTTTAAGGCATTACCTTAGAAAAAGAAAAGGAAAAGTAGCATGAAAGAACAAAGAATAGGAATAAACTCCGTTCTACAAAAATTCATAGAGAAGGGGTTTTAACTTAAAAATTAAAATAATGAGCTTCAGCAAATTAAAAAGATCAATGAATTAGAATGATTTGAATGTAATCAGTGAGAACAAACTAAAGGATACATCTTCCACTGATAACTGGTTAGTCAACAAAAAAAATTTCATTTTCATCTGTTACTAAAAAGCTTTTGCACCAAAACTAAGAAAGTAAACTTATGAGGCAAAGGGAGGAAAGCATTTTAAAACACGATGATAGCAAAGCGGTGCAACAACAAAAGAGCCAACAGTCTCATATAAAAAGACAGAGAGAGACAAAAACCTCTTCTGGTTTGATGCCACAGGTTTCACGTGTACTTCTCTCCAAGTAGTCTCTAGCAATATGCATTTTCTCATCGGTTATATACCCAGCAATGGAAATGATCTCCATTCTATCCAATAGGGGATTGGGTATGGTTTCTATGACATTTGCTGTACAAACAAATAAAACCTGCAAACCAGAAAACATGAACACTTCACCACAAAGTATGCATAACCATATTTCAACTGAAGTAGACAGCACAACTAAACCTTAAACAAGAACTTTTTTAGCGTTTATGTACAATAATTAGCGGTGGTAGGCAGGGAAAAACCAGTCTCAGGTTGCATCACAGCAAGTTTAAATCGTGGCCCTTTTACCATTCAATAAAGGTTTTGTTTCAAACTGCCAACCTCATCTACATCATGTTTCTTCCGCAAGGTATGAAGTATAATGTACAACGATGAAGACAAATCATAAAACAAGAAATTTGTCACTTAAAAGAGTCTCGATCAGACAGACATGAATGTAATGTGGTCTATAGAATGTTCACTTGATAGGCTATGTGATGACCACTAATTGCAATCACCAAAATTCTCTACTTTCTGCTCATCCCAAGTGCTTACACCACATCATTACAAGCATGTAGAGTTGCCAATGACCATCCCAACCAAACATTGCAAAATGCTTTAATTAGTATAAATGAAGTCAACATCTAAGCACAACCATTGAGCAAATGTTATATTGCTTGACGAGATACATATCCACCAAATCAACTGACCTTTGACAAATCAATCGGAACATCAAGGTAATGATCTAGAAAATTTGCATTCTGCTCAGGATCAAGGAGCTCCAACATAGCACTTGCTGGATCACCTGCATGCCCCTTTCCCAACTGACACAAGCAAAAGTGTACAAGTAAGAAGGTGTTAATGGTATCCCAAAACACTCATTCCCTCCCAGTATATAGTTAAAATAGACATTTCTTCTGATCAATGAATGCAACAGGCTAAAAATATCATAAATAAAAAATACAAGTAGAAGAAAGAATTACACTCAAATTCAAACCATCAAGATGCAGTAATAATGAATCGAAACTGTTTGCTACCTTATCAATCTCATCAATTAGAACAAGAGGATTTGCTGTTTCCACATTTTTCAGACATTGCACCATTTTTCCAGGCATGGCACCAATATATGTACGGCGATGCCCCTTGATGAACATTTCAATATCAGGAATAAGTCAAAAGCTCAAATGTATATAAGAAAAGAATAAACCATTTTTCTTACTGCATACCTTAATTTCAGCAACATCAGACAAGCCCCCAACTGAGAACCTATAGAACTTACGGTTCAAAGCACGTGCAATAGAACGGCCAATACTGGTTTTGCCAACTCCTGGAGGACCCGAGAGGCAGATGATTTTTCCTGTTTATATATTATTACAGATAGATACATATGTTAAAGAGCTCAGCAAAGAGCAAAAACAAGTTATAACCCAACATTTCACAAATACACACAGAAAAAACCAAGAGATCCAAATAAGAACGCCATGTTTTATTCGAGCAGTCTAAATCACTAATTTTAGAACAACCCTGATTGTGTTTGTCTATCATGAGGAAGTGGCAAGTTCAATCAATCTAAACTCAATTCAAATGTAGAAGTCACCAAGATTACTATTTCTCTATAAGCTCGTGTTATCAGTCTAACCGGAGACGGAACCAACTACTAAAAGTGTACTCCACTATTTGGGCCATATAAATCATCTCTTTCAAACATATGCACAGCCGCTAAACATTAAAATAAGTGTTCTGAAGAACCACTTAAAGAAACCAAAACCAAGCCTCGAAAAACCAATCGTCTATTCTGCTCCTGAGTAACCTAGAACTTTATAAAGTGCTTATAAGAACTGTATGGAAAAGTACCATGGAAAAAAAAGGTAGGAAACAATAAGAGTCAAATTCTCACATTGCAGCTATATTATAGACATGCACAGAAACAAATCAAAAAATGCCACAAATGCCAAATAAAATGATCAAATCATCAAACCTCTACTTAAGTATTGCTTGTATTGCTTGCCAGCAAAAATGCCGCAAATCCCAAATAGCAAATGAAGGCCATAAAGGCATCAAAATATAAAAAACATATATGGCAAATATTTGACGAACAAAATATGAAACCATTAGATCTCAGAATGAAAATATATTGATGAAAAGCTTAGACTGAGTTTTTCCTAACAGAATTCTTGGTTAATCAAAAGCTAGATGTACGATTAAATTAGTCATCGGTACGATAATCCACTTATTCTCATTTTACATATCTTGATTGATCATCCAATCTAGGTTGATAACCCAAATTGACAGAATTTCAGTTCAAGAAGCAGCAAGTAGGAACTGTGAACCTTAGAGCATGTGCTATATCACATATACAGAAAGCTGACTTTACATTGCTGACAGATCGTTATAGTCTTGTTACAAGAAAACAAAAATCTCTCAATTCACAAAGACACAATACTTGAAATGCAACCACTGTCATCCACAAATAGGGTTTTATCAGAAAGGAGTGAAAACATAAAAATTCACCTTTAAAAGCTGCTATAAGGAATCTCAACCAATTACGAAAATATGATCAGCAACGTTAACTAGATTGTTAATATAACCAACCTTGAGAGGTTCCTCTGAGTTTTCCCACCGCAATAAATTCCAATATTCTCTCTTTGACATCAGTTAAACCATAATGGTCCTCATCAAGAATTTTCTGAGCCCGTATCACATTAAAGTTCTCATCACTGCATGCAACAAAGAAGCCAGAGTAAAGCTCTATGAGCTGGAAGAACTAACAAAGCCATGTTACATGGTGCTTTGTTGCAGTGCATGCTCAGACTGCGCAGGCAAGCAACTGCATATGAATGATCAATGCAATCACAATTTTCCGAAACATTTTTTTTTCCGTAGTTTAAAAGTCATCATCTGACTTTATAGTTTCACTTCCAGTGCAATGAGAAAGGCTATTAAGCCTATCGAATAAGCACGTATAAATAGAATTCCGATCTGAATTCGAGGTGTAGTGATACTCAAAAGAAACTGCAGGCGATAAAAATTATCAAGATCTTCTTATACAGAAAATGTTGAAATTTCAGGATCTGGGTCATTTTATGGTGATAAATTAAAAGAATCACTTGAAAGAGCTCATTTTTCATCCTCCTCATTGTGTCAACATTTTGTTACACGTTTCATGGTTAAATCTTAGAAGAGGATACACATGTTCCTCAACACGTAGCCTTGAATCTTTCAACCCAAACAAATAACGAAAATCAACAGAAATATAACTTCGTTGTAAGAAGTCTCCATTTCAAACACAGAATCTACAAGTTCCACATGTATACCATGAATATCAAAACCTTGTCTGTTAAGATGTATACCATGAAAAGAGTAAAGTCACAGTTATTCGAAGCCGACAGCAGAGCACTAAATTTAACTATAGAAGCACACAAAGCTAAAGAACAATATTCCAAACCTGTAAATTCCCCAAGGCAAAGCAGTTAGCCAGTCCAAATAATTACGTGTCACATTAAATTCACTCGAACTAGCCTCCAACAACTGCAGTTTTGTAAGTTCCTCTTCAATAACTTGCAAGACATGAGGTGGGCATTTATCCCTCTTCGACTCAAGTCTTTCCCTAAATTTCCCTGCCATGAAGGACAAGCATCATCATTAGCAAGAATGATCTTACAATAAAACAGTACAGAAGTTCCAGAAAAGATTGTTCAACAGCAGGCAATACTAGCACTAAACAATGGCTTTAAGAACATAAGACAGGTATGAATACTCTTAGTAGAACACACCATTTACATTTTTGGAATGAGGAGAACTAATTCTTGAAATACAGCTAAGTGAGACGTTCAAGTGAAGGTGTTTTAACACTTTGTAAAGTACCATCAGGCAAATGATGCATGCGACAACTGCTTCAGCTTCAAACATATCAGCATTATTTATCCCCCCTAAAAAACTACAAATGGTTGACACCAACTGCAAAAAGGTAATCTCCCAATTCGCTCCAACCCCCCGGGCAAAAACCTCCCAATCGCAGTAGTTTGAAAATGGATATGAGGCTTCGACATGTTGCTCAGATGTGTATGCATAACTGATATAGAATAAGAGTGCATGTCCAAGGAGTCATACTATTCCAGCATAAAGATTTGTGTCGCGAAAAATAATTAGAGAGAGAGAGAATACAAACCAGAAAGGGCAGTTTTGTCATCAGTTTCTAGTCCAAGTTCCTGCAGTGCAAATAAACCAGCATCAAAGTAAGGCCCAAAGGGGAATCTATTCGAAAACACAAGCGGATATCAAAAAGCTGGGAATAACCTTCTTTATGGCCTTGAGCTGCTCATTTAACAAATAGCGTCGTTGTTCCCCACTTATTTTATCCTCAATTGCTTTCGCAATGGATTCCTAATAAAACAAAGAAAACGATGATGCAACACATATTAAAGTGTCAAATTAACTCATCAAAACAGGTGACACCATATGTACCTGGATTTTACTGATCTCTATTTCTTTCTTCAACAGTTCCAATGTAAGATTGAGCCGTTTCAACACCTACACAAGAAAAATAATTGCAAAGGCAATTAGCTGAAGAGTAAAACTTTTCAGTAGAATACATTCTTACAGGTTACTCTCAACTCAGAAAAATAGATTTATTCTGTAGCCACGTGGGTGATATTGCTCAGTCACCTTTGGTAATAACAAAAACTTGGGTCATGGACATTATCATAACCCGAGGAACTTCTTCTATATTTTATGAATGGGATCTTGTGCAAAATTCATATATAAAACAAATTAAACTTTGGACTTCCATTCCTCATGTAAGAAGAAATTTTTAGAAAGTATTTCACCTAATCAGGAGGTAATCAACACAACAGACTTGTTTAAGCAAATGTATATGCCTGCTCAGATTATTTTATTATGTCAGGGATATCCAAACTAGACAAAAGGTTCCTCACATGTATTCTTAATGTACATATCAAAGCTAGAAATAGTTGATATAGGTAAAAAATGGAAGCAAATGTCCCGAAACTTATTTGTAACAAGAAGCAGTTTACCTTTTTTTCAATTGGTCATAGCATGAGTTCTGGTATAGTAAATACCATGGACCGGGCACTGTATAACTTTCATGGATATCACATAGTTTTCATGCATTAACATAGAAAGTTTGACAATTACCATATTTAACAAAAGAGGGGAATAAAGAACTTACGTCTAGCTCTTCAAGTACTTTTTGGAGATGGGATTTATCAGCACCAGATATAGCAGCTCCAAAGTCGGCTAACCTAGGACTGTCAAAGTCACCTATATGCTGCATCATTAAGGAAGTTAGAATTTGCCATATTACAAAACTCTTACGTGAATAACCTCATGTGTCATATTAAAAATACAGGACGGAAAAAATAAATAGAACCAAAATTACACCAGAATGTTTCTATGAAGGCCTTTGTGCAGGAAATTTGCAGGCATACAAATTCAAGTAATCTACAATAAAAAATATACTTCACGTATTGCTAAACTCATGTCCCAAAAATTGGTACGCATCCAACCATAACTAGAATTCTTCAAATGAAGAGCTCTCAAAGGACCTAGTAATCAACTGAGCAGCATAGGACGTTGGGACAAAACAGGGAAAATGTACTAAAGAGATTAAAGCATACAAATAAGAAAAGCACCCAAATAGAAATTAAACAGCTCAGGAAGTTTACGAAGAATATCCCCTGATCAATATGAACAAAGGGAAGACTCACCTGTGTATAGGTTTGAACATGATCCCTCCAAAGGGAACTCACTTTCAGGACGTCTCTCAATGTTGAAATAACTTCAAATGTTGTTGCTTTAATAATATCGTCTTCCTTGTCGTAAGGATTTGACTAAGAAAAGACAAAAAAAACGAAGTCAAAAAAAGGAGTCTACAGACGGCTAAAATTTATGATTTCCACCCTAGGCAAGACTAGCATCTGAGCTCAACACAGTAGTACCTTCAGATGCTCAATTTTCACAGTAAGGGGATCCTCCTCTACCTGCAAAGTTAATAACGCAAATTAGCTACCTGCTTGTTCCTGGACATGAAATCTACCTCACATTGTACCATAATGAAAATTAAGTTCCACTTTAAAATATGTGAACTGGAATCGTTAAAGTTCTCTGCTAAGAAACCCACCAAAAAGTCAAAAAGTGGAAAATATGCAACAAGAGCATGTACTTTGCAAAAGGAAAGTCATAGTAGTGGTCCATATCTTGAAAGCCAAACATTTTTTTGGAATCTCATCGTTCAAACGGGTTTTTGGAACCTAGCTGTTCGTATTTCAGCATTTTCAGTGCAACAACTAACAAATTGGGATGGTTAACACAACTTGCCGCATGTTTGGCATGTTTCTGTCAATAAAAGCCTCAAATCTGGATTAATCCACACTAGGAAAAAAAAAAAAAAAAATCCACCCAGGAATATGCATTAACTTAGGGCTTTGAATTTCTATGTGAAAAGGGGAGTAAAATACACATATTACTTTGTTCATCCAAATTGCTCAAAGGAGTTGCTTATCGGTGGTCAAGGTCTGACATTTTGACTGACAAAATAACACCAAACATGGAGATCAAATGCAATAACCATACCCACTTATCTTCTTGTTGTACAAAAGTACTAAAGATGCTGAAATTCAGAACACGAGGAACCAAAGATTTTATTCCCCAAAAGATAAGGAACCAAACTGCATTTTCGCCTTTGCAAAATGAAGGCAGATGTGAAGGGAAAGATCCAACTAACCATCTCACTTAACCGAATGCGTCTGTGACCAATCACAACAACCTGGTCTCCTTGGATAGTTGTAATCTGGATCATAAAACCACTGTAATCAATCTTAGGGATAAATAAGTCTACTGAAAGCAAAACATGAAATCAAATCCTACTGCAGGCATAGAGAAACCGCGATTTCCTGAGTATACAGCTACATGATGCAATTACTTGTCCCTTTAATTTTCATTTGTTCTTACTTACCAAGGAGAAGAAAACAACAAAATTGCAATTACCTGCGCCAGCACCCCTACATCATGAAGACGGTTGTACAATTCTTTTCCTTTAAACTCGTGAATGCTTTTCTCTGTCTCAGACCCAGAAAGCACTGCAGGGTCATTTTCTTCTTTAAGAAGAAAAGCACCAGCATAAGGGGCCTGCCGTTTTCGACTTTCAACAAGAGCTGCTAACAATTTGGGATCCTGCAGATAAACTTAATGTAAATAAAAGGAAAGATAAAACTTAATTTTCAGTCAACTGACAGAGATGAAGGTTGGAGCAGGCAATTTCCAAATTCTCGTTTTCAGCCAAGAAAGATGGAGGTTGTAACAGCAATTTCCAAATTCTCATCCATTCCACAATAGCATGTGAAAAAAAAGGAAAAAGAAAAAGAATACAGCAAGTGCCAAAAGGAGAAAAAACAATGAGAATTGTGGACAAAGAAAAGAAGTTATGCAGTGCATTGTACGAAAAAATATTACTATATTACAGCATTTTATAGAAATCCTAAACATATAAATGGAAACAGACAGGCTTGGCCAGGAAAGGAGAGAATAGAACATATAAATATTGACCAAACTGAACATAAGTCAACACTATTCCAAGATCGGAGGTTGTAATCCATTGCCTTCATATTTTCAAAACTTCTGATCAACTGCCCATTGAAAAGAAAAATCCAGCCTAACTTAATAGATTTGGGAGGACTTCGAACTGCATAATGAGACTCATAAAATGCACTGCACTATCATAAGTAAATTGTCTTAATTAAATATTTACACTGCTATCAATTAGCGGCAGAATCGTTCCTGGGGAAAAATTTATGGAAAAAGTTAAACTAAAGCATCCTGCAGATAGTCATACCTTCACATAAATTGGCATATAAAATCCTGGAAATAAGGGTTTATGAGGCAAAGGCAATGCTATAACCTGCAAAGACAGCAAAATCACAGCTGATTAGATAAGAAGAAACATCGATGGCGACCAAAGAGCAAGCACCAATATTTCATAGTTGAATATACAATTTGAACCAAGTGACCAAGTATATTACATGAGAACAAACTACAGACCAAGGATGATAAGCATCAAACTGACCTGAGCAGATATTTGATATTTTACGGACACGGCCGAGCATATGTATGCAATAAACACAATAAATACATACAAATATTCAGCATGAAATGTGAAGACGTTCCTACAGCCATCTGAAGACATTCAAAAGTTTCCTACCGATTGGAGAAAAAAGAAAGACCTGAAGTTTCAAAGCCACATGCGATGCAAAGCTGATGGACATATTAACAAATTTCTAAGAAAGTGCATACCTTGGTCAACTGAACATGCTTAAGCTAATAAATTTCAAAAACATAGTTTACACCACATCAAATAAGAAAACAGTCGTCCCCATCAAACAAACTGAAAAATACAGAAAGCATAAACTTGGCCACCTTATACCGCCTCAAATTTGAATCAATCAAAAAAATACCAAATGTCTCCCAATGAAATAATCCGATAAAATATCCTCCCAAATACTCCATTATCACAATCACAAATTGTTTAATTACTTAAAAGCTTTCCACATACCGTTAGGCAATCTTCAGGTCTGAAGACAGTGGGAACCATCGCGGCGGATTTTTCTTCCGCTGCTCCCTCTGCAATGGTGGCTTTTTCCCCGGATTCGGCAGGAGGGTCGGGCTTTTCAGAAGCGTCCGAGGAGAAAAACCGCCGGAAAACATAAGGGCCTTTAGCGGCAGGTTTTTCTTCCGCTGCTCCCTCTTCAATCGTAGCTTCTTCCGCGGATTCGGCAGGAGGGTCCGACTTTTCAGAACCGTCCGAGCAGAAAAACCGCCGGAAAATATAAGTGCCTCCTCCAGACCTCGAACTGGGATCCCTAAGCGAGCCGAGAAAGTCAAGGAATGGAGTTTTGGATTGGGGAGCAAGGCGGAGGTGGGACCTAAACGGCGTCGCTCCGACGTGGGAACGGGGACGGAGACATGTCGACGCCAATGCCTTCAACATCTCCGATGAATTAATTTGGAATTCAGTTAACTTCTCAGCAGAGAATTGGGGATCGCTGTTGCTCAATTTATTCAGATTTTTAGTTGGAGGCAATCTCCTGAACCGCCATTGGAGAAGAAATTCTTGAAGGTTGCAAATTCTATTTTGTACTACCAGCAAACCCCTGCTTAAACCCTTTGAAATGGGCAAAATTGTCCCCTGGTTTTTTTAGGGGTTTCTTTTCTTTTCTTTTTCCTTCTTTTCCAATCAACGAATAGAATACTAGTAGGAGGTTAATATAATTTGGGCATACTGTATAACACAATTTTCATTTCTTCCGATTTATATATAAATGTGAACTGATAGCATTATTATTCCCGAATGTATTCTTTAATTAAATTAATTTAGTTGATAAAGTTGATTATCCCTTTTACCCTATTAAAGCAGAATACAGGATGTTGATGTGGCAACTTCTTATTAAAAATTTTTGGCTCCAAATGCACCATATTGTATTAACCATTCTGCCACGTGTCATCACTTTTTAAAAGAAAAAAAAAATTCTTATCCAGAAAAACAAAAACTACTTTACAAAAATAGCTACACAATTTTAACTCCTAACATTTATCATTTATCAATCAAATTAAAATAGTATTTAAATTTGTCCATAAACTTATCCTCTTTATTACTCCATATTCTTTTGTATGATTTCTGAATCGTTGTACTTTTCAATATTTTTTCTCCTTTGGCAGATGATTTTTTTATTTTTATAATTACTTTTTGCTAAAAAGGAAAAAAAAACAAATGTGTAGCTATTTTATTTTTTCCAAATCAAGAATTCATTTATCTATTAACATAAAATTAAAGTAGAGGGGCGCCCAGGCATCTGCCTGGGCCAAGCATCTAGTTTTTGTTATGGAAGATAAAATAGTACTGCTCGGTCCTTATTATATGCATTTTAATTTATCATCAATTTCATTTGTTGTGTTCTTCTTAATTGAAAAATAAAACTTCGAAAATATATTTTCACTTTGTTCTTTTAATTATTATAAAATACTTTTAAGATTTTAATTTAAATTAGAAAAACACAATAAATGAAAGTTAGTACAAATCAAAATACTAAATACTAAGGACCAAAGGAAGTAATATATATATATATATATATATATATATACCCCTTCCGATTTTTTCAAATATGTATATATATATATATTGTGAGTTTAAAATAAATACAATAAATTTGGTAATACCCCTTCCACTATATATATATATATATATATATATATATATATCTACCTATATAAAAGGGTGGTATGGCACGGTATAGTGGTTGTTGCCGGTGGCTTCTGTATACCCGTTTTAGGCTGATTGGGTGATGTCGGTCTTCCCTTTCCTCTGTGCTTCTTTTGGTATCATGGTTGTTTCGGTCGGCCGTTAAGAATTAAAAATTGGCTGCTACATGTCTTTGTGCCAATGTGCCACTAAAACCTTCTTCTACTCTTCCTGTATATGTTACTTAATCTAAATTCCTTCATTTACCTGTTTCAAAATTGCTACGAAACCTGCTTCAATTTCCACTTATTCCCTTTTCGTTTATTCTTCAGATTTGTCTTTGTTTGTCAAAAACCAAAAAAGAGGAAAAAATCTCCGAAAAAAAAAAAACTTTTCGTTAGTAACTATGGTATACATGTAGATTTAATTTGCGGTTTGTTTCATAAATTTGCCTTGGGTTAGCCGGAAAAAAAAACCCAAAAAAACTACCTTTTGCCTTGCGTTTGCTGAACTCCGAATTGGGCGAACCAATTGGATTTTAGCTACCCTCTGTTCATCTATCTATTTGGAAAGAGACGGCGGTATATAGCACCTCTGTTCTTGAAGAAATCACAAGGTTAGTTTTTCATCCAAGTGAAGTTTTTGTTTATTGATTGATTGTATAAGATTGGAAATCTATGGATAGGAATCACAGTTTGTAATCCGATCATGGACTTAGTAATTGTAGTTTGTGCTTTCAATTTTTTTCTATAGCTATGTAATATATTCATTTTAGTTCTTCCCACAGTGATATAATATCTTCATTTTAGTTCAACCAAGAAAAGGGGAAAAAAAATGCTCGTTTGACTCATCAAACTGCTAAATATTTTAATCATACAAAAGATTGCTATTTTTTCTTTCTACTTGAATCCCACTGCTTCGGTTCTCAGAAAATTGTTGTGGGAATTTGATTTGGAGGTGATATTTGGTTTATTTACTGAACATTTTGGAAGGTAAGTGAAATCCCTACTTGGCTATATATATCACATTTTCTTTGCTTTCTTAATGTTTATTTCCCTTAGTAAAATTAGTACGGTGTTGGTGGACTATTTTGAATGTAACTTCTCTTTTCTGTAAAAAAACAAAAAAAAAGGTTGGATCTTTCCTTCTTAAAGTGGTTTGGTAACTTGGTTTTGCCAAATGGGCGCAGGAAAGGATTTTTGTTTCCTTCTATTTTGAAGCTCTGCTGTTTTGTCTAGTTGATATCAGTTTGTTTGTTTTTCTGGAGACTGGAGATATTTGTGTTCAAAACTGAATCTTGTGAGTTAAGACTAGGAGATGACTGGTGAATCTTATAGAGGACGGAGAACCAAGATTTATTGGTTTCAATAGTACAACCTGTATAACGAAATGCAATCTTTGAGTGCTGTTTGATTTTGCTTTCTATTCATAATAAATAGTTTCATTTTGCTCAAATATGATATGTATACTGAACCGTTGCTATGGTTAATTAGAATTGTTGGGTCAAGCCACGAGTTGGCCGATGTCGGTCTTGCTTTCCCTCTGCGTTTCTTTTGGTGTCATGGAGGTTCCGGTCGCCCGCTATGAATTAAAAATTGTTGGGCTGTTTCTTAAGGCTAAGTGTCTTTGTACCAATGTGTCACTAAAACCTCTTTTTACTCCTTCTGTATACTGCTTTTTAATCTAAATTCCTTCATTTAGGTGTTCCAAAATTCTTACGAAAACCATTTCAATTTCCACTTATTTCCTTTTTATTTATTTCCCAGATTTGTCTCCGCTTGTCAAAAACCAAAAAAAAAAGGAAAAAATAATCCCCATGTTAAGTGGTGCTTTGAGAATATATTTCCATACAAAACCCTTCACATTTCAAGTCGGTGGTCACCGACACAATCTCAACTTTCAATATGGAAACACAAAATCCTATGATATAACCAATTGCAGTATTTGTCCAATGAATTTTGTCTGAATTTGATAGAATCTTAGATTTCAATTGAATGATATCTCAACGTGGTCAAATTCAGTTTCCAGAAAACCTCAAATAATATAAAAATTAAATGGTTATAATTCAGAAATCACCAGATTTTGGGTTTATTTTTTTTATAAAAAAATTAGAAACCAAATTCTTATGAAGGTCTAATTTTTAAGATTTTTCTGATTTTGACTTCACTTAGCAAATAAAAACTAAAATTCCAAACAATGTGAAAAATAACATTGGCTCAAGTTACTTTCACAAAAGAAAACAAAAAAAACAATTTAAATGCTTATGAACATCAACAAGTGCTATATAGATGGCAATTAATTAAGAAGAAAAGGGAGAAAACTTGATATTCGGACGCAAATGATTAAGCCATCTTTCTCTACACTGTTTTCCTACTTTTCCGGCCATTTCCTTAGCAATCTGAGCCCATCTCTTCTCTCCAAGATCCGCCACCAACCGCTTCAGTTCACTGCCCCAATCATAATGAAAAACAGCAAAATAAAATTAATATGCCACAAATCAAATGGACTGAACTTCCATGATTATTTATTTATTTTATTTGCAAAAGTAGGAAAAAAAACATCAAGTCATATAAAATCGAATAGAGAACTGATATGCTTGTCCTCTTTATCAGACCATTGGCGTTTGATCAAATGCACAAAAGAAGAACCGCCTAATATTTCTCTCGTCTCGGTTAAATTAACTAGCATTTGTTGACCATCCCAGTTAAAATTTTGGTCACTTAAGTGAAACCCGTTTGCAGTTAAGCTTGAGTCATGATGAGGCAAACTTAACCACGGCACCACCTCACTTACATGACCGTGGTTAATGCCGACTGAAGAAGCTGGTAAACCAGCAAAATGTGGTGGACAGTTACTCACATTTTTAGGATGATGATAATAATCTTAGGTGGTGGAGTTCATGGTACTAAAATCAGTGCAAATTATTCCTTGTTGAGAGTTAAGGAGGTTTTCCTGGACATTTAATAGGGAATTTTTAATGACCGGAATCGGCCGTGGTAGCGGTGGTTGAGACTGAGGTTTGGGTGGTGGTTGCTGCCTTAGGAAACTATAATTTCCAAAGGCAAACACAAAATTTTTTCCTCTTTCCATGAAAAGAGTGTGTATCGGTATACGCCATTCGTCAATTCTTGGCATCTCTCTCTGTTCTCGATCGTAATATGTATATCGATATAACATATTTATCGCCCTATTACCTACTCCTTGAACTAGCATTGGAAATTCATTCTCTCCATTTTCACATGGAACTTCATCACGATCCATTAATAAACAATAGCAAACTAAACTCTGTTTGAAAAAAGCTTCCAAAAAAAATTGTAGTTCAAACTAAATAGCAAGCCTCGAAAGAAAAAAAAAAGTGAAATAATCACGCAAAACTTTTTTAGTCAACAGAAATTATCTATAAATTTGAAATATGCAGCTAAATTTAAACCAATATATGCCAACCAAGAACATGCAAATGTCACTCTGCATGTAAAACAGGTTTCAATACAACATTCTCATATAATCAATAAGACATTTGTCTACCTATTAATTCCTCCTCTCAATTACGCGACATAATCTCCATTCGCCAGCAAATTCTTTGGCGTTTTCCTACCTTTACTTGCCAACAAATGTTTTCCTTCCACCGCATAAATTATTTTTTTTTTAGACACGTCTTTCTTCCCGACATCTTTCCCTCTCCCCTTTAAATTATAGGTTACTTTTGAAGTCTTCATTTACTTCAAAAACTTATCTTTCAAACTCCTCTATTT